GTACTAGCAACACTGGAGATGCAAAAGGACTCCTGCTAGGCTGAATGTAATGGGACTCTAACATTTCCTTAACTAATCTATCCATCTCATCCTTCTGTGGAATAGAGTACCTGTAAGGACGAAGGTTTACTGGTTGGGAATTAGGCTGAAGTGGAATGGTGTGATCACACTCTCTTGCAGGAGGTAGACCCTGAGGCTTGCCAAAAACGTCACTGTACTCCTGTAGAACAGACTCCAAGAAGTCTGGTGGTTGATTTTTCCAATCTGCAATCTCATTCAAACAAGCCAACTGGTCCACAGCTTGCAAACTGCAGATTTGCCCCATAAAAGCGATCTCAGACTTATCCCAAAGCTTCTGTAAACTTTTGCCAGAAATTAGTTTACACTGAGCTAGATCCTGAACCCCTGTGAGTACCACCTCCTTTCCCTGCCAGTCGAAGAACAATTGCAGGCCAATGAAATCAAATTTGACAGGACTGATAGTTTTGAGCCAGTCCAATCCAAGAACAGCATCATTGGAGCCCAAACTTAAGATCCTCATATCATATTGAAACGTGTGTCCTTGCATTTCCCACACAAATCCCTTACACACCAGATGACTAAGTAGTATAGTCCCATCTGCTAACTTCACCCTCAAAGGATTGCTGGCTGGAGTCAATTGGCACTGCAAATCCTTGGCCTTCCTATCACTGAGGAAAGAATGAGTACTGCCAGTGTCCACCAAGATATAAATCTTGGCATGCTTGACTTTTCCTTGTACTATCAACGAACTAGCCATCCCCCCACTGTTTAGAGCCTGCATCGAGACTTCCTCCAACTCAGGACTATCAACTTCGACAGTGGGTTCAATCAAAAGTTCCTCATCACAGCTCTGCCATTGGTCAGTTACCCCATCTTCCCCTTCTGCCTGCAACATATTAAGCTGTTTCTTGGCATCACACACATGCCCGAAGAAATACTTATCACCACACTTGTAACAAACACCCCTTGCACCATTATTCTTCGGATTCGTCAGTGGTGGTGATTTCAGCCCACCAGTAGGCTTAGTTGTAGTAGTGGTATTCTCCCAACGACGAGGTTGCGTGCCATTGGAGCTGCTGGAAACCCCCAGAGAGCGGTTAGGCACCCCCTGACTGCTGCGCCACTTCCGTTGACGAGCTAAGTTCGATGCTTCCTCCAATTGTGCACACTGGAACGCATCCGCCAAAGTGCGAGGATTCCACATCTGCAATACTGGACGCAGTTCTTCCTCTAACCCGCTGATAAAGCTGCTGATGAAATAAATCTCGTCCAACGCTGGATTGAAACGCGCCATCAAGGATCGGAGTTCCTCAAATTTCTCTTGATACTCAGCTAAGGAACCCCTCTGCCTCAGCTTGTTGAACTCGGCCACTACACCGCCATACGTACGATTACCAAATCGCTGACACAAGGCCGCCACAAATTCATCCCAAATCAATTCTCTACGACCTATCTTCCAACCCTCAAACCATAGATCCGCTCGTCGTTGGAAGTAGATCACCGCCAAATTCACCCTCTGCTCCGGCGGAATCCCGTAAATGTCGAACAATTTCTCACATTTCCGCGTCCATTCTCGAGGATCATCGCCATTGAAGGACGGAAAATCAAGACGGGGAAGCTGATGGAACGGATTAGGATTACCTGGGCCGTGAAACTGTCTGCTGCTGATTTTCTATAAGAGCTTGCCTTAGAAGTGCAATTGGCTCAAGAATAGCTGGTATAAGAGCACTGGAATTTGTTCTCGCTCCGCAACTGGATTGACAACCGGAGCGTGAGCCCTAGGCGCCTGCCCCAAGACAGGTTCAGCACCCCGAAAACCTTGATTGGGCAAGGGAAGAATGCCCCTAGCATTCCGATCGATCGGCGGCACCCCTGGCCCCGCGACGACGGCCGCTGGACGTGGATTAATCACCAATTGCAGCATCTCACGAATCTCATTGGTGAAATGACCGAAACGATCATCGAGACGCGTCTGCATATCTGCAAATCGAGTAGCAGAACTCATCTCCAGCTCCGCGAAACGCGTTGCGGAGTTCGCCTCCATCGAATCCAAACGAGTCGTCAAAGTGACAAATTGCTGGGAATGGCCGTCGGAACGAGTCTGAAGCTCCTAGAACTGAACCGCTTGCGAAGAAACCAAGCTTTGCACGTTAGTGATTCTGTCATCGAGATCTACACGCGCCTGATTCATCGACGACAACAAAGCAGTAAGGCGCTCGTCGATTGTTCCTCTGGTGCTCGTCATTGATGAAGAAGAAGAAGAAGAAAAGACGTCAAGACAGTGCTCTGATACCACCTTGTCACCCCTAGAGGATCAATTGTCTCGGCAATGGAGGAATTTGGGTAGGAGAAGAGAGAATACAGAGGAATCCAGAGAAGAGAAGAGAGGAAACAGGAAGAGTGAGATAGAGAGAGAAAGGTAAAGTTGTATTATGCCAAAAAGTAGTTACAACGGTCTTCCCCGGGTTTGTTATATACAGGATGTAAAATATCCAATTCAGTCCTCTAACTTCTATTGCTAGCTCATTTCATCCGTCGGTTACATTCCCTATAATTATAATGTATTAATTCACACAAATCCAACGGAGGATGAGGAGAAGAAGAAGATTTCCCCATCCCGCAGCAAATCGTCTCCATCCTGCCGCAAATCGCCTTCATGCATCCTCATCAGGTGACTCCCTGTCGACACCCAATCCCGCTAATCACCAGAGGCATGCAGAGGTTGCTCTATTTCTATTATGTTCCCACTCCGTACCGCCGGCCGTTGAAGTCTTCATCGTCGTTCGTCGCCCACCAGCCATGAGGAATCATTCATCAAGAACCGCCGTTGAGTCCTGAAGAAGCGAAAAGAGGAGAAGGAGATACGAGATTGTGATGGAATTGAGATTGGGGAAAGAGATAGATGGGATTGTCGTTTATTTTGGGAAGAGAAGGATAAGAATTGATTTTTTTCTTTTATCAGTTTGTAGTTAATTTGTGTGTATCCAGTTTTTCGGTCAAAACCGTATTCCATCCAATCCAGTTTGGTCAAAACCGGGAAACAATCCAATTCCGTCTTCGGTCGTGAGGTTGTCCAATATCGTTTTGAAAAACCGGGTCAATCCGGTCCGGTTTAAACCGAATTGGACTGTTTCCCAACCCTAGGTGCAACTAAGGTCGAGGACCACACTCTCAATTCACAAACCAAGGGATACATTATAGGATACAAGAGTAGCCCTCTTGGTTAAGGCAATTAAGGCTTGACTTACCTTCTCCCTCAAACCGATGGTTGGACGGCTTAATCATGATTAACCTAGTTGCTTAATTCAAGATAGAGGTTTGCCCTACATTAACCTAGGTAAGTGGCTTGTAAAGCCCAAAGAATCCTAACTCAATTGAGCCTCTTTTGGAAAGGGGGGTTTCCCCTCTAACCTAGGTTAGAATGACCAATTAGATTGCTAAGCACACACATGCAAAATCATCATGAAAAATACCTCAATCATTAAATTAAACAACACCAATAAACAATCATTCAAGTCACACTACAACTACATGGCAAATAGTTAGGGTTTTACAACACCAAAGTGAAAAAGAGTACTACTCCATGCCAGAAAGGGGAAGAACACAAGAGGAAGAGGTAGAAACCATAATGGAGATACCTCCAATCTCCTCTAAGCTTGTGTTGATCTTCTCTTGGGGAGATTATTCCCAATTCACCACATGGAGCAAACCCTAGCCTTCCTTCTTCCTTGTTTCGTCCTTTCTCTCTCTAAAATCTGAAGAAGAAGACACTTTCTCACACTTTTGCTCCCCCTCTCTCTTCCTTTCAGCTCACATTTTATACCAGGATCGGGCTCAGTTCACGGTCGTGAACTCTTCAACGCGTCCGTGAACACAGAGCGCGATGTCGAAACGCACCGCTTGGCCATCAGCAGTTCACGTTTTAGCCTCAATCTTCACGATCTTGTTGACCGCGAACTCGTCTCACGCCAGTAACTGCAGATTTCTCCCTGGACGCATTACGGTTCACGATTTTGGGCTTCAGTTCACGGCCGTAGGGGACTTTGAACTCCAATGCTAACCCGTGAACTCCACCTGGATCACCCTCTTTGCTCGGTCTTTGCCTCTTTTCGTCCAACTTTCGACTCTAGGGCTGGTTTCACCTGTTTGATCCTGAAACACATTAAAACGCACAAAACCTAGCGTTAAACCACCCTTTTTAGGAGTTCAAATGCTACAAACGTCCAAGGAAAACGGGATAAAATAGGTGCAATTAGGCCCGAATCAGTTATTAAGAAGAAATTTGATGTATTAGAAAGGGCAATGCCTATTTTTTATCCAAATCTTTTTCGGATTCTTTTTTATTAGCCAAACCTATCAAAATATTAAGAATTAACCAAATGTTAACTTTCAGTTAGCAATTTTGTTAGTAATATTGACTTGGCAACATGATACTGATTTGGAAGAGACACATGAAGGCCAACATTACAAAATTTTAGTATTTTAACTAAAAAAAGAGTTACAAAATTATTAAGGATAACGTAAAAATGGCTAATATTTTGATTAATTACGAAAGATTTGGATAATTAATAGCATTTTAATAGGTTTGGATAAAATAAAAGAATCTGAAAAAGGTTTGGATAAAAAATAGACATTACCCTATTAGAAAAGATGCAAAACTAACTTAATCCGCATTCGGAATTAAACAACAAAAATAAACGGAATTATTAGATTTACACATGACGGGCCAGCAACCCAACTAGTTAAGTCTCTTCTTGAGTACGCACTTGATCCCGAGGACGAGGGTTCGAAACTCTGTCACTATAATTTTTTGTGATTGTCGTTCTTAGTTCAGAGACGGGGAAGGGTATTTTCCTAAATCCTCAAAAAACACGGTGGCAAGGTCACGTAAATTTTTAGAAACCCTAGGGGCAAAATAGTTACTGAAATTGTCGAGGTATATAAGCTTCTTTATAAGAAAACCCTAATCTTACCTAGAGGCTAGAGCTAAATGCCACCCCAACCATCTCGATTCTTCCTCTCGTTTTTGGTTCTCCGAACCAGAGACCCCTCTGGTTTTTTCGTTTCCGCCATCTCCTCTTCTCCCCTCTCTCCTCTCTCGTTCCCCATCCTTATGTTTCTCACCTCTGCTTCCAGAGAACGAAAACCTAAACCCATCTCATGTCGCCGCCATCCTCTTCTTCTCCTCGTGTTCTTTCTCCTCCCAAACCCACGAGAACTCATAATCCTATTTCACTTTCTAATCGAAATCCTGATCCGGATTTCAAATCCTATGGCCTCAACAAGGACGACGGTGAGAAAAGACGCCCTGATCAACTTCAATCGACTAGAGAGATGCCGATCCAGGTAAAGTTTTGCTTGCATGTTATTTGATTTCAATTTACTTGTTGATTTTGAGGAGTTTTAGGGTTCTAACCGCTTTTAATTTGTGTTTTTCTTTGGGGGGTTTGGATATAGATTGGCAGAAAGAAGAGAAATAAATCATCACCGCCGGCAGACGACGATGGCCGAGAAGAAAACATGTCGAAGGCGGAGGACATATCCCTCGGCAATGGTGGACGAATCCTAGGCCTATCTCACGGATTACATGTTTTGATTTCTGGGGTTTTGGAGTGGCCAAGTTTCTGACGTCATTTTGATTAATTTGGGTTGCTTTTGGTGTTCTATCGAGGGAGGAGATGAAAAGTGGGCATCGAAGGAGAAAGTGGTCTCACTATCGGCGAGAACCGCCGACAACAGGATGAGAGGACAGGTGAGTTTGGCTTTTTTAAAATTATTTTCGTTTACTTGGATTTGGGTCGGTACTGACCTTGTATTTTTGTTTCGGCAGGATGTGAAAATGGGCGGATCTAGGTGAGGTTCTCTTACCCTATGTTTCCGAAGGAAGGGAGGAAAAGGAGGGGAGGTGAAGGAAAATTAGGAGGGGAGGGGAGATTTGGAGGTGAAGGAAATTGGAAAGAAAATGTTGTTTTATGGAGGAAAGTAGGAAGGAAAGTGTGTTTTGGGAAGTGTGATGAATATGTTATTATTAGTTATGTAATAGTAAATAGAGACTTTGTTTATTTAAAAACCATGATTTAACCACATCAATCATTTAACAATAGAGACTTTATAATAATTGATCAAGGATTCTAAATCAATTAAAAATCATGTGACCAAGTACCAGACTGCATTCTACCCATTTGGTGTCATCGATCGGTTTGGTCTGTTGTGGTCTAGTAGAGCCGCCCGTACAGTTCGAAATATATGAAATATGTTTTTTTTGTGCAAATATGAAATATAGTTTCACAAATTATATTGAAAAAATTAATATTTTATATCAATTAAGAAGTAGGCGTTTAATTACAACATATGTCAAAAATTACATACCATAACATAGCCCGCTTTTAACAATAAAGAACAACATAAATGATAATTACTAAAGCTTATATAATTAAGAAAAGAGAATAGATCATTTATATCACCTACTAATTACCCGTTACCAACGTTGTAATTATGATAATTTTACTCATTAATATTTTTTTATATGTCATTTATTAATAATTTATTACCTTTCTTTGGGAAAGATAAACAAAAGGAATTGAAAAGAAAAAAGGAAGGAGAGACGTGGAGCAGAGGAAAGCAACTTTCCTTCCATTTTGGAGGGGCAGTTGGAACAGAAAATCTTCCCTCCACTTTCCTTTCCCTCCTTACTGTTGATGGCTTCGAGAACGGGGGAAAACACCTCGAAACCCCCAATTCCCTCACTTTCCTTCCCTTTCCTTCCCTTTCTCTCCTTCCAGAACATAGGGTTAACCTCGGTTTAGTATGGTTAAGAGTTTTAACCTCAAAACTAGAGTATTTGTGGTGGATTTGAAATGGTTGGCTGATCTAGATTTTTAGGGAAATATGGTTGTGTGTGTGTTTTGGTTGATTCTGAAAGGGTGATTTGTTTCTGGAATTGGTTTTGATTCTTATTATGCTATCAATCGTTTAAAGAAAAACAAACCGGTTCGGAATGGTAAGTTAGCATCTAGTGATCATTGCTACTGCTTGTGAACAATGTAACCATTGGTATTTTTGGTTGAACTATGGTGATTTCTTAATTTGAGATTTTGGGCATAAGAGGTATTTTAAGATACCTCCCTATAGTCGGACTTGGCTTGATCTATTGTGTACGTCAAGGTTGTCAAACCGGTTTAAGTCATTGAGCCGGTCAAGTAAGGGGTTTGAGGTTTAATGGTCTGATCGGGGTCTGGCCGGTTTGAGCCGTTTTAAACGTTTTCTAAATATATATACAAATAAGGTAGTAATTAAAGATTTAATGAGTGAAATAAAACTTATCTTACATATATCTATTAAAAACTTATTTTCAACAAAATAAATCTACCTAACCTCCATGATCCACCCACCATTTCCCTTCTTTCGTTCCTCTTCCTCTCTTCCCCCACTCTTCTTCTCCCTCTTTAGGGGTCAGACCGGGGGGCTTTCTGGAGGCCGTTTTGAAGCCCGACTCGGGTCGGACCGGGTCCAACCGGGGGGTTCGATAGGGGTTTAACAACCTTGGTGTACGTACTTGATGAATCTGGTCAGCTTAAAAGTCGGTTTTACTATTGTTTTGTGAATGGCTGGAAATGGATTTCGTAGTAAGTTTAACTAGACCGAATCAAAACCTGTAGCTTGATGCTTAGACTATTTTTATCTATGATGGTGGTATGTAAGGAAAGGAACAAGCAAATTGATCTAGCTAAATAGGATGCGAAATTATTAACAGGAGAAAAACATACAAATGCTTGATAAACATCCAAAACTGATCAGATCGGGATCAGCATACATGTCGTAATGGGCATAGAGCAGATAATTCAACACTTGGTACATATGAAAGCATAAGCAAATAAGATCTGCCTATGTTACTTTAATGATATGAAAGCATAAGCAATCACTCTATTTATGTGGGATATGGAAGGTAGTTGGCTTGGGATAAATGATCAACATACGTGTATGATTGAGATGGATTAAAGAAACACCAACCTGAGACTGTGTAGAGTGGTATGCTTGGTAGATTTTCTGTTGGTTGTTTGCTTCCTTCCTCTTTTGCTTCTTGTCTGCTTCCCTCAGATTTTTCTTACTTTGAGTAGATTTTTCTGCCCACCTCTCACTCCCAATCCCTTCCGTTTCTCTAAAATCGAACCCCCAAATCCGATCTCCCTTTTTATGTCTGTTTTTTACTGTTCATGTGTTGTGTTGGTGATGTTTGTTTGGCTGCTTTCAGGGGTGGCGCCTGCCTATTTTGAAGAGGCAGCAACCATTTTTGTGCCTGAATCTAGATTTACTTGAACGGCTTCCTTTTTGTTGCAAATTGTTGCGTGGTGAGTCTTGAGTAGTTTTTTGAAGAGGTGGCCGATTTGCAGGAGGGAGCAGAGTTTTCTCTTGACCTTTGGGATAGGATATGGGCTAAGGATATGGTTGACCCTCGTTGATCGTGTTGACCGTGTTGACCCGTTGACTTAGATAATATGAGATGGGCTGAAATTGGAGGTACTTGAGCTGGATTTAGTTAGTTTGAATTTGGGCTTGAGCTGGGTTATTTTTGCTTGTGCAGTTCATTGGATCTAATTTGGGCTCAACGTTATAGGTCCCTCAAGACCCAGACTTTTTAATTTATTTATGTACAATATTTAATAGCCCAACTAAGTATTGGAATTTGCTTTTATAATAAACTTAGTTCATGTATCTTCGATCACTTCACCTATTATACACCAAATCCAAATCTTGAGTGATCTTTCGCATGCTTAACATTCCAATGGCCGACTACCATTATTATTTCCTCCATTCCATTGAACCAACTTAAAACTTAACAAGGGTAAATTTGAAGTTCATTGATTCCATACATTTGACATTGCTAATCTTAACTTATTTAATTTAATAAATTGAATAGGAATGTTTATTGACTAGCCATTGTTAATCTCAACCAATTTGGTATTAGAACTAAATACGATGGAATTTGGAACCCATTGGTACCTATTGACTAGCGTCTGCTAATCTCAATCAATTTTTTCAAACTTCCACTTAAAATTTTCCTTTTTGGGTTTTAAGTATAATGTCCATCCCAGATAAAATGTGGTGTCCACACGCATAACTTTTCGAGATCTTGCAAGTCGCAAATGGCCGTAGGCAGTTTGGTCCCGCCTTCGTCCCGAAACAACGTTGTTTGCTACCCCGAACAGGCTTTTTTCCGATTATGCCAAACTTTAACCGTCCATACTTTTTCTCCGCAATCCGAACATCATGGAATGTTTTTGTGATTCGGCATAACTTTTCAAGGACTACAAGTCTACAACTTTTACTAGAAGAAATTTCAAAACAGGGATTATTTTTGGATATACGGCATTTTGGGAATAACTTTCCCTTGTCTTTTCACAAATTCATGTACATTCCGAAATTATGTCTATGATAAAAATTGTAGTCCTTAAAAAGTTATGCGAAATGGAAAAAAAATTCATGACGTTCGAATTTTGGAGCACAAAGTTATGGCCGTCCAAAGTTTGACGAAATAGGAAAGAAACTCGTTCGGGGTAGCAAACAACATTTTTTCGGGATGAAGGCGGGATCAAACCACCTACGACCATTATTGGCTTGCAAGATCTCGAAAAGTTATGCGGAATCAAATTTTTTTTTTGCTATGATCGGATACCCGAGCACAAAGATATGTTCGTTTGAAGTTTCCACCTAGGCTAGGAATAATCGGAAAAAAAATACCAAAACCACTGGGTGGGGCAGGGGTTTTGGACCGAACCGCTCCCGGCCCAAGCGGTCGACCAAACCGCTCACAATCGAAACGGTATATCTCTAATACCACGCCCCACTCAACGGTTTTCGTGTAAATCGTCGGGTGGGGTGGCAATTTTCGAGAAAGAGTGCTATTTTAGAAAAAAAATTAACAGTGTTATTTGAAAAAAAATCCGTAATCAAAGCCATCAGACGCCACCTAGGGAAAAAAAGATAGGAGAGGAGATGACATAGCTCCCGTGAAGTATCGGGGAAGCGCAATTGGCACCATAATAACTGCGATTGAGAACGAAGAGGATTATGTTCTTGCATTTTGTTATTCTTTTGTTATTGCTCCGTTTTGGGATGGGATGCTAACCATATAATAAGTTAGCACCGTAATAACCCCTCTCATCTCCTTCTCTTCCTATTTTCCTCAATCGAACGGTAGTTTTGCTGGAAGGGCATTTTTAGTAAGAATACACATGATCCTAGCCTAGGGTGTGATATTATTCAGGGAGAATTTCAACGTCTCCTTCCCATTATCCCTATTTCTTTTTTTTTTCTTCTTCTATTTTGCCTCTTTCTCTCTCTCTATCAGAGCAATCCACCACCGCCATTTTCACCCTTGATGTCTCCGCCCTCCCCATCTTCGTAGCCGTCGCTTGCGTCGCAGTGGTCGGATCCCTGTGTCGTCGTCGGCGTCGGATTCGCCTGCGCCGCCTTTGACTCCGTCTCCCTCTTTCATGTTGTCGTCGTGTGCATCGGCCTTGCATGCGCCACTCTTGACTATTGTTTGGAGGCCTTTGGGTGGAGGCATTCAGGTGGTTGAAGTTCTTTTACGGAAGATTTGTGTTGGTTGAGGATTCTAGATCTGGGCTCTAGTGGTAGTGTTTTTAGTGTTTCAGAAGAACAGTAGTAGTTGTATGCATAGAGGCCTTTTGTGTACAGTGTTTTTACTCTATATAATAGGTGTGTAGCAATAACAAAGCAAGTTTCTTTTGGTTTGTACAGTCATTATTTACAACTACTATAATGGAAAAATACTTGTGCTTGGAAACACGGTTATTGTCTCTCAATTTGCTACTACATGCAACCAACTGGATGTAAAATGGCTACGACATCAATAACAATGACTATCATAGTAATAATGATTCTAGTGTAGTGATTTTAGAATAGTGATTTTTTGAATATGATGGGAGTAGCAATGATTCTATAGTAGTGATGTAGCAGTGTTTTTGATTATGTAATAGTAGTGATTCATTATTATTGGCAATAACAATCTTTATGATAATTTTGATTCTAATAAATTATTATCAAAATCACTACTAATAGAAAAACATAAAATAAATAGTTCACACCAAATTAATACTACAAACCTGAAAAAAGAGGGAGTAGTGTTTTCCCCCAATGTGTAGTGTTTTAGATACGAAGAGACACAGAGACGTTATAGAAAGGAGAGAGAAAGAGAGATGTGGAGGGAGAGAGATGTTGAATGAAAATTTGTAACTGCATCCTAAAAATCAGCCCACAAAATCAGCTCACGTAAATAAATAAAAATTATTTCTAAAAAGCATATCTTCTATTACTAATCCACCCTTCTCTATCTGTAGCCATTAGATATAAAATAGTATTGAACGGTGTAGATACAAGTTAGCATAGTGCTAACCCCTTATAGGGTTAGCACTCTATCCTTTCCCCTTTGTTTTCGGTATATGAAACACTGGGGAAAGTGTTTTTGAGATAGGGATGGAAGGCATGGAGCTAGCCTGTTATTAGAGTTTTAAAAATTTGTTGTGCATCAACATAGACAAGAAATTACACGCAGTCCAAATGGATAGAATGGTGATTTGGTAAGAGTGAGGTTAGGTGTTTAATCCACAAAATATTAAGTTTTTGAAGCCTGTGTTTTAAAACATTTAAGGCTTTTGTTAAAATTTAATTTCAAAACTTAATTAAAAATCTTATTGTTGACATAATTAGATTTTAATAACAAGAGAAGGTGTAATATCTTTCACATATCAGATGTAGTCATTTGTAATTCAGGACTTTGAAAAATAATATGTTTTGCATAGCTAAACATGAGTGATTTGTCAAGTAGTTAAGAAATTTTTTTATTATTTATTCGTTGGAAAAAAAAAAAAAAACAATCCACAAAATATATAAAGGAAGAGATTTGATATACAACAGACACTCGGCTGAGGTTGCCTTTCTCAAACAAAGGACAGAGACGTGATTTAAAAGTTAGGAGGGACCATTGATTTGTTGTAGATTAAATCACTCCGTGAGACAGGGTTTGGTACCAAGATATGAAAATTGGTTAAGTATAGAGCCAATAAGGTATCAAGCCGGCAAGTCAAACTTGACATAGTTGGTATCAATATAAGAAATTTGGCTAAGTATGGAATCTCATGGCAAGAGGGGGTCATACACCAACAAGGTACCAAGCCAGCAAGACAACTTTGGTACCCAAATATGAAATTTGGCTAAGTATGAAACAAAAAGGGCACTAAGCCAGCAAAGCAAGCTTGGTCCCAAGACAATAAAATTGGCTATGGAGCCAAGAGGACACTAGGCCGGAAGGCAGGGGTTGGTATCAATGTACGAAACTTGGCTAAGTATGGAATCCAATAACAACAGGGGGCCATACGACAGGGTGTCGTACCAACCATACCAACAGGTGGCAAAATAGGCTTCGTAGGCAAACAACAGGGTACCAAGCCAACAAGGCAACCCTGGTACCAAGACATGCAATTTGGCTAAGTATGGAGCCAACATGGTACCAACCCGGCAAGGCAGAGCTTGGTACCAAGACACCAACAAGGTACCTAGCTGACAAGACAGCCTTGATACCCAAACATGAAATTTGGTTTGGCTAAGTATGGAATGAAAAGGGTACCAAGCTGGCAAAGTAGGCTTGGTACCAAGACATGAAAATTGGCTAAGTATGGAGCCAAGAGGGCACCAGGCCGGAAGGCAGGGTTGGTACCAAGACATGAAATTTGGCTAAGTATGGATCCAACAAAGTACCAAGCCGGCAAAAGGGTGCCAAGCTAACAAACTAGGCTTGGTAGCCAAACAAGAGGGTACCAAGCCGACAAGGTAGGCTTTGGTATCCCTAGATTATCAAGAAAGTATGGAACCTCGAGGATGGAGACTTGTCAGCCAAGGTACCGAGCTGACATGGTATCAACTTGATGGAAAATTGGTGTAGAGCCTCTTAGGGGGACCATAAGGTGACTAAGTCCCAAGACGAGCTTGGTGACCCAGGTACCAAGCCTGCGAGGCGGCAAGGTACCAACTTGATGAGATCCTAAAAACTAAGTACGGAGACCAAGCCAGCAAGGCTGACTTGGTAATAGGGGCCGACATGACTGGCTTGGTGGCAGGGGGTATCAAGCCGGAGAGATAAAAAAAGCAAAAGCAAGATGATAGCAACAAAACTAAGTGTGGAGTCTTGGGGGCTTCCAAGGTGTGAACGAGACTTCATCATGGATGCAAGGCAAAGAGCTTCAACCCTATCCAGTCAACGCAAGGCGACACGACTAACACCAACCTGACTGGGCAAGGAGCCCCAAGGCAATGGGGGTGAAGAGCAAGACAACGATTACGAATTGGTCCCAACTAGCAGTTACCAAGGATGTTACCTAGGCAGTTACACCTAGTGGCTATAAATAGGAGAAACGGAGAAGAAGCACGGGTTCCACAACCAACCATTTGACACACAATGACAAACTTTTATCTTTTCTCTACAAATTAGCCATAGCCTTAGTTTTTAGAGCACTCACTGAACCTCCATAGGAGTAGGAGTAATTAACGTAGTTTGTTCCAAAAAAACCATCAAAACATCAAACACTCTCGTTCGAGCATTGTTCGGATAGGTGTGAACCGTATTTAGAATCGTTGTTGAAGAAGTCAAGGTGCAAATCATTTATATCAAACACCAGATTTTTCTCGTCGGAAAACAGTGAGCCTGGTGAGT